TTTCAACAATGTACAACAAATTGGTATATTACAATTTTCCTCTGGGCTTTTTCTACTGACGGTACAGTTCCTGTACGTAGCCTGCAGCTATGTAGGCAGAATGCAAAATATTCGTTGGTAAACCTGATCCCTCTTCTATGTTAAGCTAACTGAACGTGTCATAGTTTTAGTTTTACGTACTTGAAATTGCTGTGGCTAAGTTCATATTCGACGTAGCCGCGTGGCCATCTGCGGAAACCGATCTGAAGTATTCGACCCACTCTCATCTCTGACGCTGAAGACTGTGTGCCGCATTTATAAAAACTGCGTACGTGTCGTTAGGAACTGTTTTAGTCTAGATCTTTGTGGCTTCCAGTTAGATAGACGCAGTAGGTGAAGGACAACAGTACTGAACTCATGCAACGGACGACGAAGGACGTCTCCAAGTCACCTCAGTGAGCGCGAGCCGTCTCACTCCAGATGAAGTAGGCATGCCTTATTCGAAGGAAGATTTCTAAGTAACGGTGGTGGAGTTCTCCCGGTTTTTGTTCGTCTTCCAATCACAGTCCAGTATTCATGACCTACGTAGCCGACTGATAATCGACACATCCAGATTATTTTTTCTGATGCAGGTATTGCAGGGTCGGCCCCTAAACACCTTCTGGGGATCATGAAGAGCCTGTGGTCAGCGAGGACGCTGTTGTTCGTACGGCCCCTTTTCCAGCAGCTCCAGATCTCCTAAGTAATAATTAATAAGTCCGAGAGGGACCTCTTTCTCAAAGATATAGCTCAAAATACTGGTTATTCAAGTGTTATTAGATAAATCGAAGAACTCGGCGGCCTCCTTCACCCGAGGCACTGCATCCTGTAGATCATAAGGGTTGCATGCCAACGGGCGTATGTCGCCGGTATATTCGAGGCCGGTCAGATGACTTTTGGCTGCAAACTTAACAGCTTCAAAACGTCATATGGCCCCTCAAAGAATTCAGTCGATAAAGTAGCTAAATGGAACGAGCATTATGGTACAGTCTTGTTGAACGTCATATCAAATGATTGTTGCGGACCAAAACTCGCACAGAGGTGAGGCTATAAAGGATTTTGGTCATGATG